GGTGTACAAAAAGAGTAATTTTAATTGAACGTGGCAGAAAACGGAACCCTGAATCAATTATCATGCACATCCCAGGCAAATTTAGAAGTCCATTAACCCCATTCTACGATTTTCAGTTTTCACCTAACAAATTTAATACAAAATTATCAGATTCAATAGACTTTCACAACAACTGAATTAAGACAAATGATCACCTGGTAGAGGTCTGCATATGTAATCTTAGGATGCTTTGCCTTCACTTCCTCTATGACACCAGAAAATAAGACCACTCTTAGAAAAACATGGAGATCGACATAGTTCCAACCAATGATACTACTTTGACTAAACAATCAAGTTGGTCCTTGAAGTATCACCTCTCTTAAATATTAAATGGTCTTTAAAATGTACCGAAAACTCATCAAATTAGTCCCAATTATATTTTTCTAATCACTCATGTTGAGAGGAACTGAAGGTTTTCAATGTTTTGAGGAATATGTAGCATATTTTCTAATATTTTAGGGACTGTATATATAATTTGGTTACTCTAAGGACTAATTAGGAAAGAGAGTAATACTTTAAAAACTAAATTGATGGTATATGCAGTTACTTCTGTTAAAAACATCCTAAGCGAGTTAAATAAAAATAGGTCTGATTTAGCACAAGGCACGACTAAGAGTCCATGACAATATACAAATCAAATTCAAACCTATACGTCCTGCTGTTAATTCAATACTCAAATAACACAAAGTATATGCAAATAAACAAGCATGGAGCACTACAAAATATTTGATAGCAAAATGAAATTGAGTATTGAATAATAATTGTAGGAAATGATAAAAGCAAAGGAATCAGGAAAAGTAATACCGTAGAAATCAATAGCCTTCTTCAAGCCTCCACCAGCTTTCTTAGCAACCTTGTTTAGTTGCATTTTGAAAACTCCAAACAGCTTTTGGAAACAGAAATCAATCACACATCAACAATCCTAAAATTTTGCGCTACCAAATGAAGACACGTGAACAATTTTATATTCTACATTACATGTCTAACATAAACAATGTTAAAACGAGAAATTCGAAAAGTACCTGAGGCAAAAAATCTGCTCCAACAGCAATGGATGCTTCTGATTCCCTAAGCGCCATCTCCCAATCACCAAATTTTCTTGCATCAGCACAACGATTTAAATGCTTCTCCAATAACAATAGCTTCTGCTCCTCAGATTGATCCTCGTGAATCCCATAGAGACACAAGTGCCGCCGCGAATTTTCAACCTGTCAAAACCTGCACCAAATTCAAAATCCCAATGTCAACAAACTCAAATTCAAATCCAAATCCAAATTCAAATTTTCATGTGACAGCATTACCTAAGATAAAGTGAAGCAAGTCTCTTATGAGCTCTGACATAAGCAGGGTCCAACTTCATAGCCTTAAGGCACTCCCTCGCGGCATTGCTGAGCCTCCTGACCGCCGTGAGTGCCGGATTTCTTCCGTAGATAATGCTGATTTTTCTTGTAGTGATAATACCATATATGTACAGTCATCCCAAAATAATATCACCTAATGCTGGTCAAGCACGCCTAGTCAAACACTCCAACACTAACTTTGACACTGAGACAAAACACCTAATCTCGTTAGTAGCGGCCACATCAACTCCAACCTAATCCTGACATGCTCTCATACATAGAATTATCATCGCAGTTCATCCATATGGAAATAAAAGGATAAGCTAGAGTTCAATAAACAATCATACAAGTATAGAATAATAATCTATATATTCTACACATTCATCTAATCATGCCCCCAAGGGACTTTCCATCTCAATCAATCATCAATTCATCAAACATGAAGTCAACACCACACACTTCATCATACCAGAAATCATGCAATAATAGAAACTCATGACAGATATCAATGCATATCAATCATCTAATGTTTCGTCACGCATTCACCTAGGAGATCTCCTTAACAGTAGAACAATATAAGTGACATTTCAATCCTACCGAAACCACCCCAACCATTTTCAAGCCCAATGCGCCGCTCGGTCATAGCTAATCAGGATATAAATTCTCACTCGAGTTTACTCAGATGATGTCACTTACACACTTGGAAGTCTGGTTCCACCGTCAAGTATAGCACAGCTGGGTACAAGTTTACCACGACCTTGACATGCATTACGAAGTCACTTGTGAAGTTTGCTCACCGACTATCCGCAAGGAACCACACACTTTCCCCAGTACTTGGTTAAGGGAATAACCCTCAACCTCATACCCCGCTCCAACACTAGATAAGGACTTAGAGGAGACTCGCCCAAACTAGTGGCCTATCTAAGCACCACTCTCACCCAAAACTAGTGGCCTATCTAAGCACCACTCTCATTTACACTGCAAGAAAAATGTAAATTTCTGACGGAAACATTTTCGACGGATATAGATCCGTCAGAAATTTCTGACGGATTTATTTTTCCGTCAGAAATTTCTGACAGGATTTTCCGTCAGAAAGTTTTTGTCAGAAATTTCTGACAGAAATATAAATCTGTCAAAAATTTCTGACAGAAAATTTCTGACAGAAATTTCTGTCAGAAATTTCTGACAGAAAAATAAATCCGTCGAAAATTTCTGACAAAAAATTTCTAACGGAATATTCCGTCAGAAATTTCTGACGGATTTATTCCGTCGGAAATTTCTGACGGATTTATTCCGTCAGAAATCTCTGACAGAATTTTCTGTCAGAAATCATTTTTAATTATTATTTTTAATTTCTTTTTTTTAATTTCTTTTTTTTTAATTTATTATTTTTAATTTCTTATATATATTTGTAGTATTAAAAATTTTATATATCTTTTGAAGGTATAAATACATATTATAATTATTTATTACAAGTTTTTTATATCTACGATTAGTATTAAAGAAGAAAATAAATTAGGTCATACTATATTTTATTATAATTTACATGGTTTGAACCTAACTTTCTTTAAAAATATATATTTTAAGTGTGACTTATTTATCTATCATAGATAATTTTTAAATATTTGGGTAGAACTACAATCATATAGACTTATTTTATAATAATTTAACACTATTAAAAATATAAAAATCTATATGTTAAATTTATAAAAATAAAGTTTAATTTATTTATGATATAAATATGTTTTTAATATCTAATATATATTTTTAGATGATAATTTATTTTAAAATATATCTTATAATAACAATTCTAAATGGAATATAAATCTTATGATTTTTCTTATTTTGATTTTTTTAATCAATGTATACAATTTTACTATTTTGATTTTTTCAATCAACGTATACAATAAATAAAAAA